TGTGACACAGCTTATCCTGGCAGCGTCTCCCTCAGTGCCCAGCCCACTGGGGCCTCCGTCCCTGGAGATGCTGCTGGCATCTGAGTTCTCCTGGTTTTCAGGTGTCCTTGTAAGTTCGAGTGGGATTTACAGTGTGTACTCTTTATACACTAAATACTTTTTATAGCTGGTATTTTGTTTAGACCTTAAAAGTAGTTCTGGGACTTCCCTTGTGGTCCAGTGGTTAAGCATCTGCCTTCCAATGCAGGGGATTCGGGTTCGATCCCTGGTCAGGGAACTAAGATCCCACGTGCCGTGGGGCAACTAAGCCTGCGCGCCACAAATACTGAGCCCGCGCCCTCTGGGGCCTGCACGCTGCAACTAAGACCCGATGCGGCCAAATAAATAAATAAATAAATAAAAGTAGTTCTGTAATAAAAATAAATAAATAAAAGCAGTTCTGTAATAAAAGTAACTTAAGTTAGCCTGGGCATCCCCAAGAGGTTGTTTTTGTTTGTTTGTTTGTTTTGTTTTGTTTTTCTCATTTTGGAAGCATGCCTATATTCCTCAAGCTTAGAGATGCTATGAACGAGAAGCTGAGCCTCAGAAGAAACAGGAGATGGTTACAAAGTGATATCACAAAACTACAGTGTGGCCTTGTGGCAGTTGCAGGCAGACCCAGGCTCAGGATAGGCCCTGGCTGTGTGGGAAGTGACAGCAGGAGACAGAGTCACCGTGGGGCTAGGGGGACCGTCCACTGCCTGTTGCTGGCTCATCACACCTGCTGGTGAGAAAGAAAGACCACAAGCTCTCCAGCTTACTCCACACAAAACCTAAGGTCCAGATGCATTAAAGGCCTAAACGTGAGTAAATGTCAAGAGTATTAGACTACAACAAGGGAGAACATCCTTCTAACCGCAGTTCCAAAAGCTTGCGTGGTAAAGAGAGCAGCAGTTCCGTGTGATAAACTGAGATTTTGGAACTTCTAGATGCAGGAAACAGGGTGAGGTGTAAGCCAGCCACTGAATGCAGATAGTGCCATTTGATGAAGGCTTGGAATATAAAACACATAAAGAGGACTTCCCTGGTGGCGCAGTGGTTAAGAATCCGCCTGCCAATGCAGGGGATACGGGTTCGAGCTCTGGTCCAGGAAGATCCCACATGTCACAGAGCAGCTAAGCCCGTGAGCCACAACAATACGGAACCTGAGAGCCACAACTACCGAGCCCGCATGCCACGAGCCCGTGCTCCACAACAAAGAGAAGCCACTTCAATGAGTAGCCCCCGCTCGCCGCAACTAGAGGAAGCCCGCGCGCAGCAACCAAGACCCAATACAGCCAAAAGTAAATAAAATAAAAATCTTAAAAAAAAAAAGAATCAGAAAAGGCAAGGCCCAGATGGCCAAGAACCTGGTGAAAAGTAGCAGTTGGATCAGTGCAAACAGAAACAACCAGAAGTGGCCAGCTTCCCCCGTTCAGACAGACTTTATTTTTATTATTTATTTATTTTCTTATTTTATTTATATTTGGCTGTGTTGGGTCTTCGTTGCTGCGCGCAGACTTTCTCTAATTGCAGCGAGGGGTGGCTACTCTTCGTTGCGGTGAGCAGGCTTCTCACTGCGGTGGCTTCTTGTGTTGCAGAGCGTGGGCTCTAGACGCATGGGCTTCAGTAGTTGTGGCACACAGGCTCAGTAGTTGTGACTCGCGGGCTCTAGAGTGCAGGCTCAGTAGTTGTGGTGCATGGGCTTAGTTGCTCCGCGGCATGTGGGATCTTTCCGGACCAGGGCGTGAAGCCGTGTCCCCTGCTCTGGCAGGCAGATACTTAACCACTGCACCGCCAGGGAAGTCCCCAGATGGGCTTTAAAACCTTGAGTGCTTCACCTGCTCCTGTGTCACCAAGGGAGGGGAGCTCTGCTCTCGTGGCCGACCCATGGGCACGAGACAGGGCAGCCGAGTTTAAGGTGCATACACAGTGTGGCCTACCTCTGGGCGAGTCCCAGGAGAACCCGTGTTCACAGCAGCCTTACAGGAAGAGGCAGCCCAGCGCCCATCAGCAAATGACGGACACACAAAAGGTGGTCCATGCATATAATGGGATAGTCAGCCTTAAAAGGAAGGAGATCCTGACACAGGCTACAACATGGATGAAGCTTGGGGACATTATGCTCAGTGAATAAGCCAGACACAGAAGGACAAATCCTGTCTGATTCCACTCACATGATGTCCCCAGAGTCGTCATTCATAGAGACAGAAAGTAGATGGTGAGGGTGGGGGGTGGGGTGGGGGGGAGGGAATGAGGAGTGAGTGTTTAATGGGGGCAGACTGTCAGTTCGGGACGATGAATGATTTCCGGAGGCGGATGGTGTGATGCTAGCACAGCAGTGTGGATGTGATTAATGCCAAAGTCCTGTGCACCGAAAAGTTTAAGCTAAAATGGTAAATTTTATATAATGTACATTTTACCACAATAAAATAAAGGTTAGATGTGAATGCAGGATGCCCAGAGACACAGGGCACCGGGGCAGGACAAGGATTTCCATTACTGCTTTGTCTAAAGTTGCAAAAATTCTGAAACAACCTAAACATCCTTTAATAGAGAATCGAGGGGGCTTCCCTGGTGGCGCAGTGGTTGAGAGTCCGCCTGCCCATGCAGGGGACACGGGTTCGTGCCCCAGTCCGGGAGGATCCCACATGCCGCGGAGCGGCTGGGCCCGTGAGCCATGGCCGCTGAGCCTGCGCGTCCGGAGCCTGTGCTCCGCAACGGGAGAGGCCACAGCAGTGAGAGGCCCGCGTACCGCAAAAAACAAACAAACAAATAGAGAATGGAGAAGTAAAATGAGGCAGCAACACGGGGAGAACATCACCGCATCGGGAGGACCGAGCCCTGGGTGTCCAGCTGAAGGTGACAGAGCTCACCTTCACAGGCACCTCCGTCCCGCCCCAAGTCCCCTAAAATGGCAGCAGGATTTTCATTTGTTTGCATTTAAGGTGCAAGCAGAACAGAGAGAAGGGGAGAGGGGGCTGGCTGTCTGGAGAAGGTAGGCAAGTGGCAGCCCTGGTGCCCGTGGGGCAGGCGGGCTGGAGGCTGCGGGTTTGGGCACCGTCCGCCTGCTCTCTGTGGCCAAGCTCAGGCCAGATGGCTCAGGGCAAGCGTGTCAGGTCTGTTTGGAGTGTGTTCACTCCAAGGAAGGGCTCTGGACTTGTCTGGGCCTGAGGTATGGGTGCACCAATGGGGGATGAGTACCTGGACAAGAAGGGAGAGATGTGCCCCTAACCGGCTTGAGGAAGTCCGTGGGGCCCAGGGTGACAAAGCCCGCAGAGCACTTCTGGAGCCCAGGGGGCCTTCCTCCCCACGAGCCCACACCCGCGCGACTCCCCGAGTTGGACACCTGGCCAGGGTGGGCAGCAAGCTGCGGGTGGAAGGTGATGAGAGGAGGGACCCCCCCCCCCCCCC